ATGTATGTATGTATGTATGTATGTATGTATGCATGTATATATGTATATGTATATATGTGTGTGTGTGTGTATGTATATGTATGTATACATGTATATGTATATATGTATGTGTGTGTGTGTATGTATATAGATATTTATATACACATACATATACATACATACATACATACATACATACATACATACATACATACATATATTTCAGAGGACATCTTCACAGAGGTGTAGATAGAGAGGCAGGTGTTCTCTTTTCTTTCAGCTGCATTCATAAACTGATGTAGAATCAAACTTTTAGTCATTAAAATGAACTGACAATTGTACCTATCCCTCTTTCTGTCATGGCTTACTAATAATAGTCTCCCTGCTCCCCTCCCCTCTCTAAACAGTAACAATCAAATGGGGATGACACAATTAATGGGCTTTTCTGTATTCAGGTTCAGGGAAGGATGTTCAAGAACTTCAAGAAAAGAGCCGACGTCGAACAATAAGCATAGCAAAACATTCTAGTTTTGACACGACTAACGTAGAACCTCCCACTCCTACAACGCAGAGCCAAATTTTGGCTAGAAAGGACTCTTTCAAATTAAGCCGAATAGCTTCTAGGCAGACTCTAAAGTCTCAACAAAGCAGAAAGCCGTAAGTATGTCAGGGAAATGAGCTGGGAGAGAAACAGAGAAGAATCAAAGCCACCAAAATTGGATGTTGCATCTCACAGGAAAATATCATAGTACACTACCTTACAGTAGCACAGCTTTCAAATTATGCCTTTATTTTAGCCTCTCAAATGAGAATTAATGCAAAGATATAGGATGTGTGGAACCCTACATATAGATGCAAGTCAAGCTTTGTATATGTTGCCAATTTACATGATGCCAAGATTTTTTCCCCATGTTGGAAGCATGGAGTGAAAGGATTTGCTGGTGACATTACCGTTGTCTGGGAGATGCCAAGTTGAGAGCTCCTTTCAGGTTCCTGAAGTTTACTTGCAGTTCCATTAATTTACTTGTAGTTGCCCGCTTTCAAACTGCTGGGTTAGCAGGAGCTGGAGCGTGTAACAGGAGCTCATCCTCACTGCAGCAGCAGTGGGTCTTGAATGCTGGCATGCCGATTGCCAGCCCAGCGTTCTAACCTCGTGAGCCACCACACGCCGTGATGATGTCAGTTTACATCAATTTCTAACTGACTGCATCTTCAATGCTCTCTTTCCACTTCCACTCTTCAAAATTATGTGTCCACTGTTGTGCAAACAGTTCTTTTCTTTTCTAATGGGGCTTCCCTTCTCTTTCCTCTATATTTCCATTTTGAAAATTTGCCATGAAATGTTGTCACCCTTCCTGGGGGGAACAATGGAAGTATGTGGGAGAGAAGGAAGTCTGACCATTAACTGAAAGGAAACAGGTAGTAGTAGCATGTAGCTGAACCTAGCAAATCTTGCAAAAGCTAAAAAGGAGTATATCTGGTTAACATTTGGGTAAGAGACCATCAGAGAATACTCAGGTTGTTGTTGAGATAGGAAAATGGAAGGAAATTCTCAAAGGAAAGCAGACTACTTTCATAACACGGGCAAGAAAATTGTCTCATTGTGTCTAGGTAGTCCTCAGGTGAACAAAGCATAAAGGCATCTTTAAAATAAACTGTTAGAAAAGTGTGTGGAGATTTCCTGAGAAAAAACTACAATTCCCAGAGTTCCAGAGAAAGAGGATAAATGATTGAATCAGTTTAATATTTTTCATCTATTTCAACTTTCCACAAAGTGGAAAATAGTAGTTTGTAATCCATTTCCAATTCCAGTTCAAAATGCATGTTGGATCAGCAAGATAAGCTAATAAATAAATATTGCATTATAATCTCTGTAAACAACTGACTCAAGAATAACCTCTACAGGAGTGTACAGATTGCCCCATCAGAAGAAAAATTTACTCCAGAATTATCTGATGAAGATGACGATGAGGTTAGTAATTCAATGTTTTTAGCATATAAATGCACCACTGATGGAGCTCAGCAATTAATTGTACATTTTTAAGATGAAATTCTTAAGGTGAAACAGTGTTGAAAAATTTTAGTTGCTTAAAAGGTGGACAATCACACCATTAAAAATTACAATTTTCCTCTTGAATTTTGATGGCACAATCCTGACACTGGAAAATGTGGTTGGGCTCTATACAGATTATGAGTTGCTCACCCTGCAAGATGATCAGATGTGGATGGGATGTGCTTTTTCCTTCCCCCAGCCCTGCTGAAGCCTGCAGAGTGCTTCTGGGCGCCAGAGAGGATAAAAATGTTTTTTTATTACTTACCTCTTCGAAATCTTGGTGCATCATGTAGTCTGAAAAATATTGTAGATGATAAGACAGAGGTAGATGATAACTAGATAGATACGTAGCTAAATAGAGATAGTAGATATTTTATTTACTTTTTTTTATTAAATTTATCTGCTGCCCATCTCATGGTTGAGATAATTGTTTTTCTCTCTTTCGCCATTTTCTTGCCAGTAAGATTAAGTATAATTCAACCTTTTTAGCATTACTGTGGAGAAATGATTAGCAAAGCTTATCCAGGATAAACAAAGATTGCTTTTTATCTCAACCTGTACATTTAATTAACAATATGCGGATCCCTTCATGTTAATACTTTCCTTGGCAGGTACCTGAATTATTCTTCACGGATCCAAACCAGCTGCTGCAGGTTTTCACAGAGCTGGAAGAACAGAACTTGTCTCTGATTCAGAATTCTCAGGAGACAGAGGAAACCCTGGATGAGCTCCGGCACACTTTGGAAACCACACGCAATAAAATGTAAGCAGTTGCAAATGATTGCCCATAATAATGCCTTGCAACACAAGGATGTTCTGTTTCTTTCCAAACATGAACAACTCAGCCATTATTTTTGTACCCTCAAACAACACGGTATTGTTTTTTCTGCACTGCTGTTAAAAAATGTTCTACCCTATATTTCCTATAGCACCAGATGTATTAGCATCTGGCGTGGGAAACAAAAAGAGAGAGACATTGGTAAGGTTTGCAAACAATTTCTTCCATTCCACTCTTGAGAGTGGAGGATCAGGAGATGTCAAGGCACACCAGACTTCATTCATCTATTTCTGCCAGCTGCTGCATTGCATACATGCAGTCTTGCATGTTTCCATAAGCTAAAAGATTTTAAATAGTTCAGATTGCCCCAAATGTTAAGAGTAGCAGCTTTAGTTAAAATGTGCATGCGCTAATTTACACAATAAAACATTGTCAGCAGTAATTATTATGATTTAAATATTAGTACAGAGCATCTTAGCATAGAGAGCCAGTTTGGTGTGGTGGTTGAGGTGCTGGCCAAGAAACCAGGAGACTGTAAGTTCTAGTCCCGCCTTAGGCATGAAAGCCAGCTGGGTGACTTTGAGCCAGTCACACTCTCTCAACCCAACTCATTATAAGGGGTAGTTGTTGTGGGAAAAATGGGAGAAGGAGCATTAGGTATGTTTGCTGCCTTAAGCTACTTATAAAATAATAAAAGTGGGGTAAAAATCTAATAAATAGTAGAGAAGATGATCGGATTAAGTTTACCCAGAATTTTTTCCCAAGTATTAACTGGTTCGGTAACCTCAAAGATACTGTGCTCCCTCCTGAAAAAGACACCAGCCAACTTCTATACACTTTATATCAGTAGCAGTATCCTGCAGCCACTATTCCACCGTTGCACCCAGTTCCCCCATAGAGCCAGCCAGCATTGTGTCAAGAGAAATGTACAAAAAACTAATCACATGGAGCAAATGGAAGAATGACAAAACATCACAAAACTTTGCCTATAGTACAGGTAATCCCTGGATTACAAGCATTCCCTGAGCAAATGTTTGAGGTTACATGATAAGCAACCCCTAGCATTTACGAACAAGTCCCGAAACTACAAATCTTGCAGCAGCGTGGCAGTTGGTCGCCCTTATGAACAACCATCTCTGCCACATTCATCCTGCACTTTGATGGCCAAAATGGTGGTTCAGAGGAGTGGGACTGCCCATCTGACGCTCCTTTTAGGCCTGCACAAGCCTTGCCCGGCATGTTGCTGGGCAAAATGGGAGGTGCTGAGATGCGGATTCACTCCTCCAACCAGTGGTGGGTTCTGGATCCCGTTGCAAACAGTACGGTTGCAACTGAGCCCAGCATCCTCCACATGAAAGCGTGCGGTGCACACATGTGTCTTACCTTCCAGCAACACCTCGCAAGCCTCTGCAATGCTCCAGCTGCTTGGCGGAGTGTCGCGCAGGTGTACACGCCATGTGCGTGCGCGGAAGTGCTGAAGACTTTAAAGGACAAGTAAGCAGCACGGGCGCGGGGGCCCTCCGGACCACTGTACCGGAACTGTACCTGGTGCTCCGGGCATGCTCCGGTACACCTGTACCGGGGCGTACCGCCTGCAACCCACACTGCTTCCAACGCTCTTTTTGTGCCTCTGGACTGGAGACATCACCAGGCATGTTGCAGGCCAAAATGGAGCTCTGGAAGAGCCCCTCCGGAGATCCATTTTTGCCTGCAACATGCTGGGTGAGGACTGCGCAAGCCAAAATGGATCTGCAGAGGGGCATATGGGGATGAGAGGCTGGAGAGGACACAGCTTGCTAGTTCTTCGCACAGTGTGACTTGGTGCAGCAGATTGGGTAGAAGGGAAAGCAAAGAATATTTCATTGTATCGGGGACACCTTGGGTGGTCTTGACCAAATGGCCTGTTCCATCAGTAGCCCCCCCCCCATGGCCTTCCCCACTCTGAAATATCTCAGGTGCACTTAATGAGCTTCGCATTCGATTAGCAAATGCGTGGGCGAAAGGAGAGAGTAATCCTGTTCAAGTATGAGATTCACTCCCACGAATCCTCAGGTTACGAATGGAATGGAGAGGCTCGATTACATTCATAATTCGAGGACTACCTGTATAGAGGGGCTTGGAAAATTCAGGACCTGGGAGTTGAAAAAAGATGATCTTGCCAGTGGAAAGCTGCTCACTTACAGCTCCAAAGAAAATGTTTGAAAAACTGGTTTAACCGAGTGAGAATTGAGCAGATATTGAATCAGCTCATCTTTCCAAGTAACTGCATGATATAAAATTACTCATGTCAAACTCTTCCAAAAAATGACCTTGTTTTTTTCTGAATTAGGGATCGTGAAATAGAACAACTGAAAATGCTTGCTGTCACTCTGCAAGCCAACATTGTTAAAGAGGAGGAGACAGCAGCAGACCTGGAACTTAAAGCACGTGTCTTTTCTTTTGGGGAGTACAAAGCCGAAGTTCAGGTATGTATAACATCAAGTCAATTGATAAAGCTTGAACTAGAAGATCAGAAGGAACGTGCAATGCCACTGAATGGTGCAAACGACATGCTCTACAGTCCACAAAATAACTTGGATTCTCTATTCTGATGTCTGAAACAGTGCTGTGAACTTATACAGGGTAAAAAGACACTGGAAATCTCTATCTCATGCTATTTTCCTGACATTTTTTACCCAGATCCCAAGAAAAGGTTAAAAAAGAGAGAGAGAGAGAGAGAGAGAGACAGTGAAGATTTAGGTGGCATGCTGTTGNTTCCAGATAGTTTATGATTAAGATCAGGAATGATATAAATCGTTTAAAGTTAGCCTAGCAAGGAGGAGCTAAGTTCAAAGTAAAGATTTTATTATAGTTGACAAAGCTGTTTCAAGAGAAGATATGTCAAAGCAATAAAAGAATGCTTTCTAAGTACCAACAGGCAGTGATGTTTTTAATAACTCATAGGATACCTTGGGTCATGCAGTGAACTACTTTGACAATTCTTGAGATGATAATCTTTATCCTTGAGATTACTCTTGAGGCATGAAAAAAGATTCTTCCAGAATTGAGCAGACAGAATGTAGATACAGAAAGTAGATTCAATGCAGATAGAAAGAAACAGTGCTACAAATAGTGGGGATATGCAGTGATTATTGAAGGGGTCCAGGGGAAAAAAGTTACAATGTGCTAGTCTAAAAGAAAGGAAATATAGATAGAATGAGAAACATCAAAGCATGAATCCAGATTCCTCTTTGGAAAGCCAAATAGGAGACACCCGATAATTGGTTTTTCCTGAAAGGAAGATAAATTAGATGCAATATGCAGTGACAGAGATAAAACAAGAGGGCAAAGATTTGTACAGCATTCCGTTCTAAAAAAATACCTAAACAATTCCAATATTATTGAATCATCCAAAGAGATCTAAGTACTGTAACTTCTTCATAAAAACAAAGGTGAACTACCGGTACTACTGATTTTCTTACATAATCCTATTTACTGAACCAGTGACTTTAATGGTTAAAAAACCATACCTCCGAATAGTGCAGAAAAACATTACATAGATGATAAAAAAGCTGGGAAATATTCATGTTAATACTGTGCCTCTTTTAAAAGTCTTGTGTATTGCTAACTGAGCAATCTCATTAACACTAAAAAAGAATTTCAATCCTTGATATTCAGCAAAAAAAGTATTAATTACTTCCAGTTTATAAGTTGTAGATTGTTCTAAAAACAAGTGTGTGGATAACAATTACTATTTTTCTAATTTGTAACAAATTAGGGAGAGATAGAAGAAAACATTTTGGATAACCTGAAATGTTCTTGTCTTATGAGACTTGGAAACTCTCAACCACTTATACATTGAGATTACTTTTTCTCTAGAGAGACTGAGCTACTGACATACAACATGTAACATAATATAAACTCCAAGCATAGTGACCTTCAGCAGGTCTTTCATGCATTATCTCTTGGGGAAATAGTTCACCCTGAAGACAAAGCATAATGTCTTTGAGGCTGTAAAATTCCCAGCATCTGCAAGGACAGCTGGTTTGGTGGTTAGAGCATCTGCTTTATTTGGATTATGACAAAATACATCACCAGAGAAGCTTTGTGATTGTGACTCAACTCACAAGGGAAATGGAGGTGTAATAGTTCATTATATTATAATGAAACATACACCATTAACAGCAGTTTATTTTTCAGATTTTTCTTCTATAAAGCTGTATAATAAAAGTAGCGCAAACCCTATTTATTTTATTTCAAGAAAGAAAGAGAATATTATATAAAACTTCATAGGGAGATAGAAATTGGCTTAAAACAAACTTTAAACTATCTAAAATGTTTAAAATGTTATATAAAACAGATAAAGTGAGCCAGATTAAGGTCCTAAGCATAGTGAGAAAACAGATTGAGCTCTTTGCTATTCACTACTCAGCAATTAAAACTGATGATTGCACTTGGCAAAAATGGATGATCAACTCATTCAATAGGTTAACAGGAAGGCCATGTGGCTCTGCTGAGTACTAAAGAAAAAAAGGAAGCCAAAACTATGATCACCATGTAGGGTGAAGGCTAATTAAGAGAAGTGATTTGCAGTTTAAATTACGGGAATAGGGAGATTAATATTCAAACTGTTTATCCAAAAGATCTTTGCTGAAATAAAATGAAACCCTCAGAGAACAATTCCTCATGGACCCATAACTTCTCATAACAAGGACAAACTTTAAGGTGGCCTACGAGAAGAATTTTATGTACTTATTTATTTTTATTTACTCAATTTATATGGCACTTTTCTGGCAAATATCATTCTGGGTAGCTAACAGATTTTAAAACTATAAAAACCAAGCAATGTCCAAACACAAGGAAAAACATGCTATGACATCCAAGGAAACCAGCAACCAAACCCATCTGAGCTGAATAAACCTGCAAGCCTGGGGAAAGCGCCAGTTCTTAAAAGCTTCCCAAAAGGCCAATGGGGTTGGGACTAACCTAATGTCAGGGGGCATAGTTTTCTTGGCCGCAGGTGCTGTGACACAAATAGACAACAAAGTGAATATTAAGTAGAAACAAAAATGAAAGCAGGTATAAATATTGCATCTTCTACAACCAATAAAGCAGAATTTTCTCACCCAAAAAGTAATAGAATTATATTGATCAGGCAACAGCAACCATATACAAAAAAAGATATGAATGGCCTGGAAATGAAAACCTGAAAACAGATGGGTGTGAAATGTACATCTTTATAAAAGAGCAATAAAACAGAACATGAGCTATAGATTCTATGGTCCTTTCACTTCAAGGTTAAGTCTTAATGTCTACAAACCTTTGAAAAATTTCCCCTCCAAAAACAGCCACTAGGAGTAGATTAAAATGAGCTAAACTTAGAGCTTTTCTAAATGTGATTTAGATATCGTCCTGGCTAAAAAACTAAAATGAACATATATATGTCTCTAGGAAAGGGCAGACTATTGCAGATATAAGTTATTCAGGCAGTGAATTTCCTTGCCTCTGTGCATTTTAAATGACTCCCTAATTGTCTAAAGAGATAAAATGGTGGTAATGAATAATGAATAACTATCTGCTATTGTATTGGAACAAAGTCCCACCAATACCTTTCCCACAAATGTAAAAGAAGGGTTTTCTTAGGACTTCAGAATTAAAGGAAAAAATTTTCCCCATATCTTCTCTGAACCCATTAATTATCAGCCCCCCCCACTACCACCTTAATGCTATTTCCATTTTTTAAAACCTGTAAATTATATAACAGGGTACTTTTAAAATCACTGTACAGATAGTTTGACATTTGCAAAGTAATGAATTAGATCCCCACAACTGTGATCAATCAGTGAATATTGGTTATTTATCTGAATCATTTATATGCTTCCCATTCCCATTTTGATGCTATGGGTGACTTACAACAGTAGGTTAAAATCCGTTAAAACAATGACTAAAAATACAGTAGAAATACAAACAATAGAGAGAATGCACATTCAAACAGCCAAGACCCAGAGGCTCTTCCAAGCAAAGATCTGCAAGTCACATAGATTTGCATAATGTATTTACAGAAGCCCATAACCAATCTGATGAACAGGAAGCAAATAAAAGACTTTGATGGCTCTGTTTCAGGAAATCTGCAGTTGCTTCATTTATTAATAAATCTGCAAAGAACTTGACAATTCTATCCTCAACTACAAATCATAGCAACCGGAAAATCTATAAAGATGGTGCAAAATAAAGTTGAAATTGAATTTGCATAAAGTATTATACAAGAGCACTTCACAAAGGCCAATGCAGCCAAAAAGCACCCCTGGTTCAAAGCCTTTCACTGGTTATCAGTATGTCAGTGTCCATGCATAGAAAATACCTCTGCTGCCATTTTAATGTTCTGAGTATTACATTCCTACACTGTACATTAATTACATTAAGCCATTTCTCTTTCAAATGCTTTGTAAATAACATGGTAGAAATAATGTGCTATAAATGAAAATACGTTTTCAGGACAACATACCTGGTTTTAGCTTCACAACTTTAATTTCAGTGGTTGCTGCGGGACTTTTTAATAGCCCAGGTTGAGAAACACTGGGTTAGACAAAGAACTTTATTTGCTCAATGAACAATGTAAATGACATCCATTATATAGTTTAGTACTTCCCAACCTGCTATAGTTGAAGGACTCTACTATGAAGAATATTGGTCAAGAAAATAGGTAAAGAAAGGACATAATTTTTTATTAAGTAGTTGAAAAGTATAGTTACTGCTAATTCACACACAAAGATACATTTGTGAATAATAGTACAGAAAAAAGAGATTTAAAAATACTAATAGTGTAGCATAGTTACACAGCAAGAAAAAAAATTATTCTTGAAGTAGAATGAAAATCACATAAGTAGCCCAAAATTGTGATTTAAAATCACTATCTATCAATAATAATATAATTTGTCTGTGGATGTTATTACATATCTATGCGGGAATAACCATAAAGTATATGGTAGAGGTAACATTGCAATGTGGTTATTGCTTAAATTATCTCCCAAAGCGTTGTGGCATTTTGCAAATTAAATATCTTCTCCTTAAGTATTAGGCTGTGCAATCAAGAAAGGGTAAAAATAATTTGTCCACTGAGAAGTACACAATAAATTTGTTGGCTGTGGTCTAATTTATGTATAACAAATTTATTAGTAATTTCCAGTTACCACAGTCTAATCAAATATAATAAAACAACAGTCATGCATGTAAGAACTGCATAAATGTCAATTTTGAAAGTCAATTGCAGAAGCAGGAAGGTCCAAATGAGTTTTCCTGCCGTTACTTTTTGCATTAGGGGGAAAAAAGCTTCCAGTTATTTCAGTGCAAACCTCTTTTCTAATGCATATAACAGGAAATCAAATCACAAACACATGGTTCATGATTTGTGGATACATGATTGGAGGAAATAAATTGTTAAATTCCACTATAAATATTATGGTTTTGATAAATCCTGATCCTTCCT